GATTTTGTCTTTACCGGCTAAATAATAATTCAGTAGTGCTCTATTCCCATAAAGGAAAAAAAAAAAAAAAAAAAAAAGCTCCTAGAATGCCTAGAATGCAAAGTGGATAGAAATTGAAGTCAGTCTCAAAAGGATTTTCAAGGACATCATTTAGATTTGTAGCTTTTTTAGTTTCAGAAGACAAAATTATGACAATCTAAACTGAGTAAATGTCATTGTATATATCCAGCACCTCCAATTTAATTTGTAAACTCCTGCCTTGTTACTTCCCCTCCCAACAGCCTCTGCAGAGGAGATAATACCATTTCTCTCCTGTGATTTGAAATCTCTTGATCTCAAAGAGCTGGAATGTCACACTTATTAGCATTTGGTTATTTATTAAATGGTATTAAATGCAGATTCCCTGATGACACTTCACATGGAAAACAGGTGAGTGAACCACATAACATTTCATAACAGGTAAATCTAATAAAAATTTACCTTTTTTAAATTGGAATTACATAACTATCTCTTTTTAACTGTCAGGTCTAAGTCAAAGCTAGCCTGTGTGGGGTGGGGGGTGGGAACTTTGAAGAAAAAATTGTCACTCTCCTACTGAAGTAATAATACATAATTTTTCATAACATTTGTTGAGAGATCAAATATTTGTAAAATAATTCTTGACCTCAAAGTCAAGATGAGATGTGCATCTGGAATATCTGTGTAATACTTTCTGCAAGTTTCTGTTTTGGATAAATGAAGAATGAAGTTTCATCCAAAAAATCTGCTCTGATTTTACTCGGACACCAGTACACGCTGGGATTGACCTATGGGCAACCTAATGTAGTTGGAATTGCATTATATTATATACATCATTATGTTAAATTATAGTTTATTATGCAGTGCAGTTATGTTTGTCAATCTTGATTATATATATCAAATATGTATATAGAATAGTTCAGTTGAAACGGACCTACAAAGACCATTGAGTCACAGTGCCTGACCACTTCACAGATAACCAAAAGTTAAAAGCACATTACTGAGGGCAGTGCCCAAAAGCCTCTTGCGCATCGACAGGAGTGGGGCATCAACCACCACTCTAGGAAGCATGTGCCAGTGTTCGTGTTTGGTCACCCTTATGATAAAGAAATTCTCCCTCGTGGCCAGATCAAACCTCCCCTGGCACAGCTCTGTGCCGTTCCCACATGTCCTGACACCAGTGAGCAGGGAGCAGAGGCCGGCGCCTCCCTCTGTGCTTCCCCTCCTCAGGAGATGCAGAGGGCAGGGAGGTTGCCTCTCAGCCTCCTCTTCTCCAGGCTGGGCGCCTCACGTGTCCTCAGCCTCCCCTCACAGGACAGGCCTTCCAGACCTTTCACCAGATACATCACCCTCCTCTGGAGGTTTTCAAGTGCCTTTTATCCTTATCAATATCCTTTTTATATTGTGAGCCCAAAACTGTTCACAATACTCAAAGTGATGCTGAACCAACACTAAATATAGTAGGGGAACCACCTCTTTTGCTTGGCTGACTATGCTAAGCTTAATGCACTCCAAAATGCGATTTGCCCTCTTGGCTGCCAGGGCACACTGCTGGCTTCCGTTGAGGCAGCATGTCCAGCTCCCTTTCTGCGAAGTTGTTCTCCATCCACTTGACTCCCTGTCTTATATAGATTAGAAGAGCTCCTGACAATCTATCAATAGAGGCATAGCATAGAGAGTCATCCATCTGATATGAAGCTTGTGTTTTAATATCCATCTCTCAGGCCATCATGAGATTTAGACGTGTTGAAAATACCAATTGGTTAAACAGTGCCTGCCTGAGGTTCTTACAATATACTATCTTGTTCTGACTTCCTTTTGTTCTGTTGCAATGTAGCTAAAATTTCACTAATAACACTAAAGACAACTTTCAAAGGCAGAAGCTTCCCCTTGCCAGCCTAAAACTTCAAACCTCAACAGCTCATCAGTCTTCCTAAGCAAATCTTTGCATTTTTTCCAAAGCCCAGAATCTCAATTTGCTCACATTATGCCTGCTCAGAAACAACAGCTCTGAATTCATGAGTTTTTGTGGTGACTTTGATGATACCCTAAAATAATTTTTGTATACCTCCCATGTAAACCCAAGTTCCTGATTTCCTCCAAAATTCAGAGAGCTACACTGCAAGAAGGTGAACTCTATTTTTGAAGACCAGTTCATTTTACAAACCAGTCACTTTACATCCTGTAGATGTTAATGCTTAAATCTTTTTTCATGTCGGTAAGCACTAATAATAACCATGCTGATGCAGATAAGAATTAAAGATAGTTCAATGCTGAGTTGAAAATAGGATTTCCTAAAGCACAAAAAAAAAAGGGGGTGGGGGGTGGAGGAGGGAATTAATTGCTTTCTTATTTTATATTAAACCCCAAAGAACTCATCTTTAATATCAGGAGTATGTTTATAAATGTGCTCTGTAGTATGACAGTTATTACTAGGCTTTTGGTGTTTTGCTTTTTTGTTGTTGCTGCTAAATTATTTTTTTGGAGTCTGGCAGGGCATAAATCCAGTAGTAACTACAGGTTGCATATTTATACATTTATTTATATTGCCATAGCATACATGTTTGTTAAATTACTATAATACTTATTTTATCATACATAGCTTCACAATTTGCATATCACATATGAACTTTAGTCCAAATCCTGGGTAATGCTTTATACCTTCTGCAGAGGATCTATTCTCATGGGGCTGGGGAGGGCCACATCCACCTGCTCCACTGGGGGCTCCTCCACAGGCCACAGGGGAACTGCTGCTGCATGCCTGGAGCACCTCCTGCCCTCCCTTCTTCACTGAAAAGGTGTCCCCTCTCCCAGCTACTGTTGTGCAGCAGTTTTTTTTCCCTGTCTTCAATCTGCTCTCCCAGAGGCCAAACCAGCATCACTCCCTAGCTCAGCTCTGGCCAGCGCCAGGTTTCTTTTGGAGCCAGCTGGAGCCAGCTCTGATCTGACACAGGGCAGCTGCTGGGCTCTGCACACAGAGGCCACCCCAGCAGCCCCCCTGTTACCAAGCACTTGCTATGTAAACTGAATACACTCTTGGGAATATGTGCAAAGACACAGCTTGGAAAACTAATGGAATTTTTTTAATCAAAGAAACACGTTAAGAATCACAGTTTTATACCTCTACCTCACGTGAGGCAATGCCGTGAAATCTGGCCCACCAGGACTGTTGTCTGTTTACTGTGATCTTAGTCAAAAGTTCACGGCTGAGCAAAATGCTGACATATTTAGCCATTTGCAACCTATCAAGCTCCATTCATATTCTCATAAGTCCTAACACCTTCTGTGAAGGAGCAAGTGATGATCCCCAAATTATTGGCTTCCCAGTGCTGAAAGAGCCAGAACTGATGAAAACAATAGGCTGAGCTCCCAAAAACATTATTTCAAAACTCTGAGATATGATTAAAAGCTTATAAACGATGCATAACCCCTGCAGGGAATCAGACTGACTGCCATCTCAACTTTCCAAAGGACCCAGGCTCTATCTGGCATGTTAGAAATTCTCTACACGTGCCAAGTGTAACACTTCCAAATGGTGTTAGAACTCACATACTGTGCAGTCAAAATAGGTTACATGCATATATGTATATATACGTGTGTGTGTAGAAGGAAAGGCAGATAGACAGAGATGGCTCATAAAACAGGCTCAAAGTACTTAATTTTCCTGCCTTTGATGATTGGTTTAATCTAATACGTTCTGACTCTGTTGTCCCAAGGTAAGGTAAGGACTTTCTGAGAGGCTGGAAAGAGTGCTCTTTTTAATCTTTTAGCATTCACAGCATAATTCCTTCATGTAGCTGTGGGACTGCTTGTACCAACCCCTCCAAAGATGCCCCCTTGCAGAGCAGGACCCTCTTCCTCACATGTGCTCTTCCTTTCAAGGCCTTTTTCCCCAGGCAAAATGATTCCACCACGATTCCCCAACTGGAAAGCTTTCCCAGCTTCACTGCCAAAAGCCAGAATTGCCAGAAAAGGCTGGCAACTGGTTTTCTTGCTCCCAACTAGTAACACAGTTCAGTTCATGGCCTGTGCCATGAAAAAAAAAATAATATATATATATATATATATATATATATATTATAAATTATATATTATATATTTTATATATTTATTTATTTATATATTTAGCTATACCAAACTTCCCTTCTTCTTGCTCATTTCTTTATTTCTTTAACCAAGTGCACTGGGAGAAGTTCTTTGTCACACACACTGGAAACTAAAAATAGTCTGATCTAAGTCTTGTTTTTTCCCTGTATTAGTTCATAGGATTTAAATAAGCACAATAAGGCAAATGACATATTAAAATATATGCAGCTTTTGGCAGGTTACTTTACAAGATGAGGTGATTTTTCATCACAGTTAATATCCTGTCAGATCGTTTGCATGATCATTATTTATTATTTCTGTAATAATAATTATTCATTGGTTAAGATCTTTGCTTCCTCTTCCAAATTTCTTCCTCTTTTTTCCTAAAAAGTAGTTCTTCAAATTAAACAACATAAGATGAGCAGATGCCTCCCAGCTCATCTGCAAGTGACAAAGTAGCAGTAGTAAGCAGCAGTGGTCTTCTTTGAAACCATGCAAATACTGCATTATGGCTCTAGAACTTGAATCTGATTAAAGGCTTTATAAATATTTCTAATAAAGGTACTAATAGTCACATTTTTTTCTTTTGAGCCACTTACAACCCTTTTTTCTTTTGTTTTCATTTAAAACATGGTGTTTCTTATAATCATTATATTTTTAATTTAAAATAAATTTAAAAATATTACTCTAAGATTAATTTGGTCCACTGTGTCTTGCAGGAAACATCTTTACCTTTGTTTTTGCTCACATCCTACATTCTTCACCTAAAACTTTTTGGCTTTATCTAATTCAACAAGACAATCCTGGCATATTGTTTAACTAAATAAGTTAATTTGCAGTTTCTTGACTGCCACTTCTGAGCACAGTTTAAATAATACAATGGATTTCATCTTTACCTGGAATTTTAGGCACCTTCAACTAAGGTTTACATCCTGATTTCTGGAGCCAACATGGAAGAGACGGAAAAGAGTCAGAGATTAACATCAACAGGCAATAAATTTTCTACCTGGAAGGAATAACAAAAGTAAATGCCACCATGAGGAACATCTGTGCTAAGGCAGCTAATATGCAGTTTCTAATAATTATCGTACACGTGTATCATATACTTCTTATCTACTTTTGAAATAATTATACTGAGCAGGAAACCTGGTGATGAAGTTTTATTTCATTTATTCTTAACAAGCATTAACACTGTCATGCATTCTACACATACAAAACAAAGAAATGATACATGATTCAGCATTAGTGAGGACAGGGAGATCAGCAGCAGTTCTGTACTGTGTTCAGAGAATCCAAAACGATTCCTTAAATCCAAGTATGTCATAATATAAAACTTCATAAAGTCAGACCTTGGTGTATTTTTAATAAGAACACAAAAAGTATCACAAGGCATGAAACACCAATTATTTTCCTGTAGCAATGAAGAACTTTTATTTAAAGGGAAGCAGATCCACCTCTCTTTCCTTGTTTGCTGTTGGAGCCCCTTGGCTGCAACTACAGCAGAGACACTCTCTGCCAGAAGCAGAGACCTACAACATGCATCAACCCAGGCTACTCAGAATTTTTCTCGTTAAGACATACTGTTTACATCTACTTTACAGTTGTCAACTTCAGAAACTTGAAGCAAGTGAGAAGACAAGGTCCAGTAATGGCTACTTTTAAAGACAGAGAAGAAAAGTGAGTAGAAGTCACCTTCTGATGATCAAAAATCACTGTACAGTGATCAAAAATCACTGTACAGAGCACAGCTCTTCACTCCCATTTCCTTTCATGGATGTTTGTGAACATAGACTACTGGTTCTCATCAGCACCCGTGAACTACTTTTAAAGGATCTGTGAAAGGCAAATGAGAAAAGCAAGTGAGTATTAAATGGCTTAAATTCTCTATAAAAGGTTCTACACCAGCAATGGGAAATGTTTCCATCTGTGTGCTCTTATTTCACTTCTAAGCTTCCTTAACTTTTTGGTCAGGTGGAAACTCCTTTCCAATTCATTCTCAGTTAATTCTCAGATTTCCCTATTCCCCCTACAAGTAAATAGATCCTCTCTACTAGGGAGGTGACGTTAGTGTGGCCAAGGCACATCAACTACTCTAAAACTCACTGAAGAGATCCTCCAAGCCAGACACTTTTCACAGCAACCGTGACTGAAGTGATAGACAGGGGCTCAGTTTGGGTGATGTTTAATGGGTACATCATGACCATTGTTCCATTAGTTCACAGGAAAGTCTTTCACATGGACCTAGCTGCCCAAGAGAAAAACAAGCAAAAAATCTGATGAGGACTATGGTGAACATACTGAATTCTTTCTGCTGAAAGCCACCTCCCTGAAGAACAGAGTTTTGCTGTGTAATTTAAGAACAACTTCAAACACGGTTGTCCAAATGTCTTTTGAAAACCTGGTCTGGCAAATATAAGAGCTGCATTAGCAGTACACCAGTAAAACTACCTCAACAGTTGTCAATCTATCCATCTTTCATGGAAATTGGAGATGAAACAGAGCTCATAGTTCATATAATTGCCAATCTAAGACTGTTCCAGTGTTCCTAGAGGTTTGTCCAGTTTTTAATGACTCAAGTAAAGGAGCTCCCACCATTTTCCTCCAGGGACTACTCTTTATTGTAAAAGATTTCACTGTAAAAAGAAACAATTCCTGACATTCAGCCTAAAATATTCCCTTGCTGACTTTTCCATTCATCTCTATACATACATAGACTATACAGCAAAAGCCAAACTGCTCCCAGTTACATCATACAGTCCCTTAGTTAGTCACATTGCCTCAGTGTAATGCTGAAAAGAATTTGTCCTCGCACTTTGTTCTTCAGAAAATCTTGATGGAAGTAGCAGATTTATTTTCATGACACACACTAAAAGAATAAAGGGTATAAACTGGCAGGAACTTCACATCATATGAAAGTCTGCAACTCCGCATTAGCCAGGCCCTTTTTGAAGGTAGTGAAAGAAATAAAAGGCCACAGTCCATTGGGATTTTATAAATAAAAGGTGCTGGGGAGTGAGTAGATAGTGTATGATGTCATTTACCAGTAAACAATTTGAAGACCAAGTGCAGCCTCTGTGCAAATTTTCCTCATTGTAATACGTCCATTCCTGTGTAGACCTGTTACGTCTTGCTTCTTCGATTCCATTAAAAGGTATCATAAACAATAACAGCAACAATAACTCATTGTTAACTTGCAGAACCCTTGGCTCCTAACCATAGTATTTATTCAGGGAGTGTTCTGTATTTACACATTCTTATGTTATGAGCAGCCATCTCCAAGGTTAAGGAATTGCTTCAACTCCATGCAACATGTGGCCTGGGGATTCATAAGTACATAATCCTACATTGCCAGTTGCAAACTGTTTTTGCTAATTTTTTTTTTCCTAGATATCCCCTAAAATAATCTTTTTTTAAGAGAAGCCTGTTCCTTTCAGACATCTAAGGTTCCTTTTAAACCAGGAACAACCAATGCAATTTGCCTTTAAATTTTAATCTGGGTGCCTTTGATTATTGATCAGATTGCTTAATGCAACTTCATAAAAATAGTGCCATAGGTAATACTAGAAAGAGCTGTGCATACTTCAGAGTTTATATCTTTATATGTGAAATAAAAGCTGAATTTGAGCCTATGTAGATATTAAAAACAGATGACTTTTTTCTGACTTTCACTGACTGGTCCTTCAATTAATTTGTTCTTTAGTTCTGCCAAAATTACTTGTGACATTTTATTCACTGGCACAATAACAACAGGTCATTTTCAATAACCCATGGCTAGTCCCATACAAAGAGATTAAGCAGATTCTTTTATTTCCCATGGGAAACCTTAAGGTCAGTATATAGGTTCTCCAGAGCAGAAAGGGTTAAAAATTCCACCACCAGAGTCTCTCCAGTCATTACATAATCCAAAACAAAAGAAATCAGTGTTAGGTCCACCAGTCCCTGAGGGACTGGGGAAAAATTGTACAATCAAGGTTTATTTACTTATGTATTTTACATGGCTCACTGAATTATTTTATTACCTTCTTTCATTCAACAGCTCCCCTGAGGAAGGAATGCCATGGAGACCTCAAATATGGAATGCTAAGCTAACATGGGTAAACCTAAGTGCCAACCTGCATTTAGGTTGCCCTTACCTCCTGCCAACATCACTACTAAGTCTGTAGATGTAGGAATACTGAAAAAAGCCCCCAGAAGTCTCACAGCAGTTGCTAGGTCCAACAAGCAGATTCACTACCTTGCTCTATTTCCCCTCACTAATTGCTGTCACCATCACAGCTCTGACTAAGACCAGCCTGAACCCATCTCTAGCTGATGTAGGTGTTACCAGGTAAGACTTCTGGATCCAAAATGGATAAGAAAATTGGTACATTTTACAAACCATGGAGCTGAGAAACAGCGTCTCTTGCTGCAGCACAATTCCCAGCCTACCCAGTTTACACCATTCATACTGGTTAGCCCACCAATTTAGCTTGCAGATTACATCAGTGCAGTGAGTATGAACTGTCCCTGCAGCAGAACTTTTACAGAGGAAAGAAAGATATGAAGAATTCCATTTACACAACTGTATGTCTTCAGATCCCCTAAAGAAAAGCAGGGCAGCAGTTTGACAAGAAGCATGCCGCCTAAGCTACTGCATTCTGTGTTTGCAGTTCCAGAAAGATTACACATGCCCAAGTCAGCACTGTTGTGCTTTAAGATATATATATATGTGTGTGTGTGTGTGTATATATATATGTTCCTAGTTGATCCTTTATGACCTGTAGAGCGTGGTCGTTCTGCAAAAACAACAGTTCAACATTGGCTTTGTGAAAGTTCAAGTATCTGGCTCATTGAAGCTAGCTTGCAGTTCTGTTTGGTTATTTAACTGCAAATACAACCTAGCCCCTTAGAGCTTACCGGTATCTAGGGGTTTGGGATTTTTTTCTTGGCTTTCTAAGATATTTTTTCTTTACTAGGTTAAGAAAGAAAAGAAAAATTAAAAATAATAATAATAAAAAAAAAGGCTACAGGTAAAATTAATCTCTCAGTAATACTAATGCTAATTAATTAATTATTATCATTAATAACTACTAATACAGTTGATATTAGAATAAAATATTCTGGCAATATCTTAACTGTATTACTAGTTAGTTTATTGAAACTCATTTCTCTGGGAATGGGAGTAGTATCTGAAAACTTAAGAAATGAAATCCTAGAAAACCATCTTTGTTATTCTTACAAAAAAAAAAAACTGCTTTTCTTGCTGATAAGGGACAACACAGGTAAACAAAACTTGCCTAAAAGAGTAAAAAGGGCAGAAACACAGTCACACATAACTAACATAGTCAAACATACCTAAAACAAGGACATGGTATAAAATTACTTATTTATTTTCTCCACAATGCTTTAGCATGTCTGTTTGAGTTCACATTCTAAAGATAAATATCTAAGATCAGACAGAAAATTGAAGGAATTATCTGGGGGACTTTCCTTACACTTCACACTTAATTTGAGATTACTAAAGCAAATCCAGAATGTGACCGTGAAATAATATTGTGGGCTTCTGCCACTGCTATTGTATGTGAAAGAAAGTGTAACAGTAGAATGATTCTCACAAGTACCATGACTGACATGTTTGAGATGGAGTTTTACCAGTAAATCCACAAGGCTTCCATATTCCTCCATTATCATTTTTATCTGTGAAATTAGACACTGTAGAAAAAATTGGACTATTCAAATTGTACAGAAAATCCATCTTAAAACATTCAACTAGATGGTGGAAAGGGTTTAATTTGTTACTTCTGTTAATTTCTGTTAATTTGTTACTTCTGCTTCATGACAAAATCACTAGGTGCATGTTTCACAATGCTAACTTTTGGAGGAGTGGTTGCATCCATAAAAGAGAAAGGTCAAAGACAAAATGTGAGTACTCCCAGGCAAATCAAATTTCCATTCACATTGCAAGAAAATTCAAAGTTTTGCTGAAAATAAAAAATAAAAATAATATATATATATATATATATTATTTTTTTTTAAGTAGAAGGGTAGAAGACCCCTTATTGAAGAGCTTAAGGGAAAAGGAAATGGCTGAAAATTCACTCACCAGCTTGCAGGAGTGCTTTCTGGGGGTGTGGATAAACAGACCTTAGATCTTTGCTCACGACTCAGTCACGTCAGAGCTGCAAACCTCTTACCACAAGGCCTTTCAATTCTACCTCTGGCTGTTGAAATATTTGCCCTAGTCTTCTAGGAGAAGAATATCACACTAGATATGATGAATGGCCAATGTGGATTATTTGAGAGAATAAGACTCTCTCAAATTCGTCACTGCCCCAGTACCAGGAGAGTGGCATTAGATGGGAGAACTGCAAAAACTCCATTGGTATGACAGATTACAGGATATGAAGCAACTGTGACTGCAAGTGTGCATTTACCATTAAAAATTAAAAAATCAAGTCACAGAATTTAACCTACATTTACAATGGTAAGTATGTGGGATCTTTCGTTTACATCTGAAGATCACTGATTTATATTGTTAGGGTATTGATTCAGTTCCTACTGGTATAGATATTATCATCTGGCTCTCAAGTCATATGTCAGGGCCCCTTTCAAAACCTTTGAAAATGCTTAACTCTTTTCAAACATTAAAGCATTTTGGAAGTCAGCAGTCTGGCTAGTTTTGCCTTTTTAACAGGTCTTCCTCATAGCTTTCTTTTTGGTTTGCTAGCATTCGTCTTTTGCAGCCTAAACATTTCAAGAAGCATAAGCAAAAAGATGTTGATGTTCATACTGGACTACTTCAGCTGAGTTCCAGATTTAGATTTATGTGCTGGCAAATGACACCCCCCTACTTACACCCCAATTTTTTGATGAGATAGCCAGAGTAAGTGATTTCTCAGATTATTCCCTCCCAACTTGCATCATTTTATCATGACATATTTCTTTAGTTTGGATTCTAAGTTTGAATAGTTTCATGCTCCAAATCCTTAGAATAATGAATAATATGAATCACTCATTGTACTACCTGTGTTTTTCTCTCAAACTGGACAGGGCTGGTGTTCAGATCAACATTTCTAGTTGTCGTTTTTATGATCCCAGTAGTACCCTGTAGAAACTACAGTAGCTGTGTGAAGAACCAAAGATGATTGTATCCGCCTTCTCATCTCTCAGATCTCCCACCTTGCACAACCTGAGAACAAGAATGAAACCTGTTCAGCTGAAAGCTTGTGGGTGGTAATTCAATCAAAAAGCCTGGGGGAAGAGGGAGGGGGGAAGAAAAAGAAAAAAGCACATATACATTGTTCATTAAGCCTGATGAGGACTTCCCTGGTATCTCTACCACTTTGCACTTCCAGGAGGAGACTTGCACACTTAAGAGGTTCAAAGAATGGTGACAGTAGGTCACTCAACCAGCACAGAAGAACAGTGCTCAGGCTGTATCAGAACTGGTTCAGATGTATGATATGACATTTAAACATAAATGCCAGGAACAAGTGGAATGATAACAGAAATGAAGGGCAAAAATTGATGGGGGAAGAAAATAATTTTATAGAAATAAAGCCCTGACAGTAGTTCAAGCTAAACCATAGACTCCTTCAGGTTCCTCTGCACTTGAATGCTGAAACCGTATTTGTCTTTGGCATCTGGCAATGTCATTTAATATGTTCTTATGGCCCTGCATGCAGTTAAGCATGCACTGTATATTATTTTATGATGTTTGAATTGGAATCACACTTTCTGGGTACAAGTATTCATGTTTTTGCAGATTCTTGTGTAAAGCTGGGAGAACCTGTTTCCAATTTCATGACCGTTTATCGCTAATCCAAAATGACTGCAGCATTACCTACAGACAGGAAGCTGGATGAGGACTTGTGTGTTTTGGATGCATCATGCTCTTCCCAGGAAACTCTGTTAAACTAGTTTTATGCTTACATGAGGGGAAGACAGAAATTACTAATGGACATGACTGTGCCTAATCTATATATAGTTTAACAAAATAAAGGTAAAACTGAGATGGGTCTTATAGCAGCTCTTCATCCATGTGAGCTCTAATACTCATTTCAGCATTCCATTCAGGTTTCTGCTTTTGCAAAACTCAAAGTGCATAAAAGGGTCCTGTGCTTACTAGTTCAGCCAACTTTAAGGAATTTTACAGGTTTGGTACCTGGGCCTAACAGTTAATTTTTACTGAAATAACCAAAATCTTATTGCAAAAAATTTCTTCCATATATTTCACACAACCATCTTGCAACAGATTATGCTGAAATGCAGTTGTATCATATGTCAAAGGAAACATACTGTAGAATATTCCTTTGGGAACCAAAAAACAATGCTGATGAGAGGACAGATTAAGCTGTCCTCCAGAACAACTACAAACAGAGTAAAGAACATGTGCTTAACATTTTATGAACTTCATTTTGTCCAGCAGCTGATTTAGGATTGGTCTAATAACTCTTGTGAGAGAAGGATCTCTCCTGAGATTTATAGTGGTCCTCGATTTGAATGGATAGAAAGAGCTGTAAGACTGCTCTCTTCATAATTCTAGATTTTTAAGTTTAATCATCATAATCAAACAGTATTGGAAAGCTAACCATTTCACTGGAAATTTGTTGAAAACAATTAGTATTTGGTTTGCTTTAAGATTTAGTCTGATTGGATTGTTATTATTCTATTAAAATAGATTGTTCATCATTATGCTACTCAAGCAACTTAACCAAGATTTTTCAAGGGATATATATTATTGGCCACAATTATAAAGATGCCTCCAGGTTTAACTTCCAATTAATTGAACCTGTAAATACTTAACAGTAAGCACAACATCCAGAAAGTAATCCTGTTTGCAGAAGTTTGATTATGCATGTTCATTTGATTAGTAGACATCTACATGACCTATACAGAATTGCAGGACAAAAAAAAAAAAAAAAAAAAAAAAAAAAAGAGAGACTTTAAAACTTTAAAGAGTACTGTTTATAATGGTGAGAAAACAGGAACTGAAATGCATAAGACTCTGAGTGAAAATACAAAACTATTTGATCCAATGTATTTTTAGGTCTTTTGTTGTCCTTTACAAGCTCACAGTATAATACATTTTCAAAACACAGAAAAAAATTATGCACTTTTACATTACAACAAGCATAAAACTATTCCCAATTTCAGCTGATTCCAAATTCCTAATCCTTTCCCTCCAACAATTCTTCCCCAACATTTTGTTAGCTGAGAAGATGCTATCCCTATACTTCCTCCTTGCCCCTAGAAGAGAGTTACAGGGAAGGAAGCCTACTTCACACAGAATACAGCTTGCAGTGCTTCTTCAAGTAATGGAGATATCTGGAGACAGAGTTTTCTAACAGTTGCTTAATCTATAAGTGGGCTTTCTTTCTATAAAAAGAAATCATGGTTGAAACCATGAAATACACCATGCTTTGGGGCTTTTTTGTTGTTGTTTGTCCGTTTTTTACTTTTATTCTATATTACTTTATTAATGTCTTCAGGGTTTTTCCCCATAATTTTATTATTGGATTTTACACATTTAGTTCCAGTATATTATGATTTCTATGCCTAACTTTTAACTGTCTAGCCATTTAATGGAAAAGAAATTTAAAAGTCAACAAAAATGTCAAAGCATGTTCACAATCAAGTTGACAATCCCTTCAAAATAATTAAATTTGTAGGAAATGAAGAACAAAGCCTTGTTTCTCCCTTGCCACTAGAGCTCTTTAGCATGGAGCCCACCATAGCTCAACAGCTGTGAAGCCACAGACACTATTGCATATCCTGAGGGGAAAATAACCTGTCTGAGGCAGCTCTAAATAGCTCCTGGTATTCACTCAGTATAAGCTCTCCTTCCCTCAAAAATAGTCTGTAACTCAGTCCCAGTGTTTCCAGGCAGCATCTGGGTAGTCTAGGAAAAAAGCTGAGAACAATGTCAACCTGTCCACAAGGTACTTTAAGGAGCTAAATATCTCAAAAGGAAAAACTGCCTGTCATCTTCCCTGAAGTAATAAAGGCAGAATAAGAAATGAGTTTCTAGGATGAATGAAGGGTACAGGACCATGAGAATTGATTACCTTGTCCAAACAAGCAAGGCAGACACATGAGGATCCAGAAATCATGTGAGTGGCTGCACCCATAATGTAGTAAGTCATAAGACACTCCACCCCTTCTACCTTTGCATCCTGCAAAATAAACACAGCTGATCACAACTGCCATTGTACACCTATGTGCCAAGTAAAGGTGCTGCATTCAGGAGACAATCAAGAGAGCAAAAACTCAGTTTACAGGAAAATATCAAAGTTGTAAATACTTTTGGTACCATTACTGACCAAGAAAACAGAGCTTATGGCTAAAATAGAGGACAAGGTACCAAAAGGTGCCTATTCCATTTTCAGTTGTTAGAATCTCTTTGTATACCCTTAAACAAGCTGCCTAGATTTTCTGTGCCCTAATATTCCCTGTTCTAAAATATTCTATAGCTTACAGAGAAATAGTCTCAGTCCCTTCTATTAAATATTATTATATAGTAACTGGAGCAAAGAGTAAGCATGAGATCACCATGGACCTTCCCAGCATGAGGGAAAACTGAGCTACAGTCCTTGTTCTAGTAAACATTTCAAAATCTTGTGTTAAGCAGTAAAGCACGTTCTCTGTACTCCTTGGAGCACTGCACACGTTAACGGCATCCATGGAATGAGAAAGCATCATCTTCCCTCTCTCATGTTCCATGCTAGGCATCATAGCAAAAGTGTTTGATTTACTTCAGGCAGAGAGAAAAACTCAATCGTCATCCTGGAGACCGGACAGAACGTTGAGCAGTTGGATAAGATGGGAGCAGCCACGGCAGAGCTTCCTCTGTTCAGGGAGCCCGCGCTATTTATTAGGTGTGCTCAGCTAGTTCATGTGAACTTGCACCCCAGTGGTTTACTCAGACAAGAGACTGATGAGAGCGCGGCACACTGACATTGAATACTCCCGAAACAGAAGGCATTTCTGGGCACAGTGCTTTTGGAACCCAAGAAACTTTGGCGCAGCAACCTGAAGCATCAAGAAGCACTGGGGCTGGGCAGCAGCTGAACATGACTTTTGAAAAGTGGAATTTCGTTGTTAGATGCTTAGTACATGAATCACAGGATTTAGGTGCTGGAGTGCTGAAGCAGATTTGGCCCAAAACAGCTGCTTAACTACAGCTGTTAAGATTTAGAAAAAGAAAAAATGGGGGGAAAAAAATCATTTCTCTTCAAATACAGCAAATCTGCCAAAACCAAAAGATTTTAGGACTATATCAATTTAAACTTCAATGACACAAATTCTGTTTAAACATCAAGATTTCTTTCCACTACCCCTTCTACAATATCTGAAAGGCTAGACATCAGGAATCTCATCTCAGGTACAAAAAATAGGTGTGACTAAGAGAGAAGGTCTTGAACATCAGGCTCCTGCAAAGCTGAAGCAAGCTACACAATCTATGGGTAGAAGGTTCTTGTTCTTTATTTTTATTTTTAATTCTAATTGCTATTTTCATCCAAACATAAAGTAGGAAAAGTTCTCCACTCCTTTTTTTTTTTTTTTTTTTCTTTAGTAGGCATGGAAATCTATTTCATGTTCAGCTTTAGGCATAATTTGCTCACCCCCGCACCATTTGGCTGTCTAAGGATTTCCTGGACCTTCAATTATTCTCTCCATTTTTGTTAAAATGCTATCAGAGAATTAGTGCTCCAGGCTCATTTCTGAGCAACTTCCAAGAAAAAAAAATCTGCCAATCAAAGCAAATGTATTGCTCCCGGTTACTTATATCCTATCTCTGAAGGCAGAGCTTGGCCCAGACACTGCACATCAAGGCACTATGAGTTCTGAACCATGCTGGCTTCTTATTTCAGGATACAAAACAGCCATTCCCACAGAATATAGCCATTCCCACAGAATTCTAGAGTAGTGTTACACAGAGCAACCTGCTGTATGTTTTTGTGTTTGTTTTTTTTTGTTTGTTTGTTTTTGGTTTTTTTGTTTTGTTTTGTTTTGTTTTGTTTTTAAACATACAACCACATTGGTTTCTGAATGCACTGAAAAGATATAAGACCAGATTCACCAATAAGTTCCAGCTGCTTTGCACTCCTTTGGCAACTCAAAACAGCTGTAAATATGGCTTATCTGGGTTTAGACAAGCCTATGGATACTTTGCATCATTGCAGCACAGGAAAGTCAGGACTTTCTACTGAGTCTCTCTGATAAAAAGTATTACATTGCTACTACACAAAGCACAGGGAGATAACATTAAAAATAAACTTCAATCTGTTAAATACTATCGTTCTGGACTAAATCTTATCACAGGTTCTACAGAAGGGTAGGAAAAAAGTCTCCATTTTCTGTTCATCAGTTATCTCTCAAAAATCTTCCACGCAGATGCCTCTTTAAAAATACTCAGGACAACATATAACTAGACTTTAAATGTTCCAAAAGTATCAATTTTTAATGATACTTTGAATGCATTTTGTTATACCACATATTTGAAATATTATGAAAATTGGCAAAGTTGTCCCATTTTAAACATACAGTATTTTATACAGGGGATATATATTTTAAATATATGTGCCATAAATTTTAAGCAAATGTATTACAAATACATAGAAAACTTATATTTTTTCCATATGGGAAGAAATGATCCCAGTTACAGCCATTTTATTGTTCACTACAGACAGTTATATGAAGCAGATTGCATTCATTTTATTTTTCTCCTACAAATCTGGAGATTTTTTTGCAGATCCCTCACATACAGTTAGCAGAATAACTGAACCCTTACAGACACAGTGTAACTACAATGTAAAAGCTATCTCTCAAGCTCTAGTGACTGAGCTGCATGTTTTAATGTGAGCTCTTCAAAAACTGGAAAGCAAATCAGTCCTACTTGGGTTCAAGTCCCAGGTCCTCAGAGATCCATGTCTTTATATCTTCGACTTACTCATGCTGTGTCTTAAGACTTCTTATAGATTCCTTTTGGTATTGGAAATACATCAGAAACTGAGGGTCACAGTTATGATAACCTGGTGATGAAAATCATTATTATTTGAAAACCGCTCTTACTGTTAGCAGAGACGCTTCATCTCACAGCCAATCTGTTGTTGTTTCCAACTTTTCAAATGTTTTGAGCACTGAAAGAACCATTGCTCACAGCTTAGCACTTGAAATGATAGATTTTGCTCACCTGTAAAACAGCTTATTTGTTAAAAGTAAATTCTCAGCTGAAAGCAAATTCATTCATGTGAGAAAGCCCATATTCGGCTCTGGATGCAAGGCTTCTAGCCTTTTTGTAATGCTTGAGGTGCCTGGAAAACAAAGAAATTAAGAATCAGAAGGAAACGAGACATGTTCTTCATTGATGTAAACTTTCAATCCTACTTAGAAGAGAAACAATTGTCCAGAGGTCATTTCATTTTTAGAACTAAATGCAGGTTCTTCAGAAAATTTCTGGTCATGTCTTCTTATCCCACTATTGCTATTTTATTTCAACAGTCAGCAGTTTTAATGCTCCCATTTCCATTTCTACTCATTGCAGAGTAGAACTGTCCTCTTTTGACTGATCCTAAATACCAAGGTCTACAGAACATGGAGTCATTGCACAGCTTTTTCAGATGATAAACTTTACTCTCCAATAAAGAATTGTTTAAATCATATCTAGACTTAGGAAACTACTGGTGTAAGCCTCTAAACACTGTCTGCTTCACTACTACAGAAAGTCCCAAGCATACAACATTATTCAGTTTACCACACCAAATTCCACCTCCATTGGAGCCAGGGAATGATAATTCAGACTTGCTGAGAAATCCTCACTAAGACTTCAGGCATTTTCTGGCAATCTGACTGCTTTGTTTATGCAAAACAATCAAAAGAAAATGAAGATATACACTCTCTGAACATACAAAAATTACATGTGGCTCCATAAACAGTCATGCAGACACCAACAAGGCTTCAGAATCACTAGGTAAAAGATGACAGAAACTTTAACTCAGCAAAATATTAAATTACTTAATAATTTCTTAATTATAGTGCAATCAACAGCTCCTTTAGTCTCAGTGCTTTTTCTCTAGCTCTCAAAATTCTCATCTTATAATGGAAATGTTGAAAGTTGGTATCTTTTGTTCCTTGATTGTACTGCAGTGGTACACAGAAGATTTTCAAAAGTCCTGCAATGACTTCAGATGTCATCAAAAAAGAATTGAAAATGGTGATTGAAGCACATGTGACAGTATGTGTCCTATCTTTAACCAATTCAAGTAAAAACAGAAGTGAATAAAAAGTGTCATGAGTTCTACCTTGTGTCTTGGATCACAGTTTATAACCACAGTCTTGGGAGAGTTGGTATTCCATTTCTGATATATATAAAAACTGGTGCCATCTCAACTTCACTGTTATTTTATCATGCTAAGTAGAATGAGTTAAGACAGGTATGCTAGCACGTGCCAAATACCTCTGTTTTTATAAACAGATTTACTTTTAAGATTAAAAGTTACATTGACTGTGGTGCTGGAAACCAATGCAGTGCAGTGGGTATGAGAGCCTTTAGGAAACATCTCCCAAAATGGGAAAGTTCTGTAAAGTTCATATGTCTTTGTATATTTAAATGACAGGTATGATACACAAAACCCCATGCATATTTATATATATTTATATAGAGTGTGCATATCTGCAACTGTGTAGACATGCATGATCAGTTATTATATAAATTTTAGACATCTATTTTAGTCATACAATTGGACACCATCGTCATTAATAGGTAAATAATGTTGCAAAACTTACATTAATCTGTATCAGCACTACATAAACTATCACAGATCACAGAGTTAAGTTTGTGCTTGGATTTCTTTTTCTGAAAGTCAAATATTGTTATAATAAAATGTTGTTTTGTGGGGCAAATGGTAGCAAAAACATTATCATCTTGGACAGCTTTACTCAAGAGTGTATGTTTCCTAAATTTCATTGAATATATCAGGACCAGCCCCCACACTCCTTCAAGTCTTCCTAAAAAGCAAGCCAGTTGCAGCTGTGTCAATTTATTTATTACTTTTGCTTCAAGACACCTCTCCTGGAGTGAGCTATCTTCTTATGCACTATAAATATACTGATTTGAAAAATCAATATGTACCTGTCCTTCCTCTTACCATCTCCCTATGTGGTTGGCAGATGCTGCCTCAGATGATAACTTCATGATAAAACACCAAGGAAACCATATAATGCATTTTGCATCCTACATCAGAAGAATCTCTACCCATTAGGTACCACTATGTAAATGAATCTCCACCAATTCTGAAAAAAAAAAAAAAGAAAGAAAGAAAAAAAAAAAGTGGAAGCAAAAACTAATGTAATTTTGTACAGGGTTAAGCTCAATTTGACTCTTCTTTCACTGCAGGCAGTGATAAGACTCTCACAAACAATGGGGAGCATAATCCAAGCAACGCTAAGCACTTTGGAAAATCCCCATTGTATTATTAAGCAAGCTAAATTTTGTTTCGCTTTTCTGGGAATATTTGTGCAAAGTATTTTTGTGTACATAAATGTTTGGGAGGGAGTGTGTATTCCTCTGAATGAGGCACCTGAACAAATACGTTTGCATATAAATCCGTAAATATCTAGATTAATGTGGATCAGCAGAGGAATTGCTCCTTTGACCACCCTGTCTGTAAAGCAGTGTCTTCAAGAAATGTGACCAGAAAGAAATTAAATGTAAAGCTTGTAGGTCAGCCAATAAATCTGGCTTATGTCTTTCTCTCTTCCTCAGGCAGGAAGGAACCCAGCTATTTTTAAATCTGGTGTCCAGGTACATAGCCAAAAACAAATGCTACTCCTTTTGGAGAAGACAGGAAAACGTTTTATACATTCTAAAGATTTCCCAAGGCCTGCTAGTCTCCTCTCAGTTTTGTCCTTGGTGTGGAAAACACACTCATCCTAGATAACTTACTTTCCAATGATATTTTTCAGGTGCTGCCTTTTCTAGTTAGGAAACATTATGTAAGTAAGTTTTTTAAAAACAAACAAACAAAAAACACTACTTAATTCTGTATTTGCAGAAGTTAAAACAACATTTGCTTCAGTTCATTTATGAATCCCATAATCCAAACATATTCAATTTATTTCCTGTATTAATTTCAAAGAGTAGATACTATCATTAGTAGCGCAATTTTTATTAAGAAGTCAAAAACGAGATCAATCCCAAAAGCTTTACTCCAATAATCTGTTGCAGATTTTTTTGTTTCCTTAAATGTGAAAATTATTCAGGAAAGGAATTTGTTTTCACCATATTACTTCCTACTAATGAAGCTTTACACACATAGTATATATCATTAGAAAGGCTTCTGCACTTTCTCAAATACAGCTAAATTTAAACAATTAAATTTATTGCAATTATTTTCCATACCCTCACTGTTTACATTTTCTCTCTTTCTTGATAATCAATTAAAAAGCATTATAACTAGTCTTTAAAATAACTTCAAACTTCCTTCATCATTTCTGTTTACTTCTCTCCCTTTCCTTAAAACTTTTAAGGCCTGACCATGGTTTTTGAAGATTACAGTAACATTTATCTTTCCTAAAAAGCATGTATGATTTATTCAACAAGTTACTTCTGCAGTAATTCTATGTTATAAGTTAAAATCTATACGCAGTTATTCTTCTGAGAGTTTCAGATGGTAGAGTGTTCCAAACATGGGAAGGTAGCATCTCAAGTGTAGCGTATGTTGCCTACAGCAGAAATATCTAACATCCAGTCAGGAGCTAATTCAGATTCAACCGATGCAACTTTTGAAACTCTTCCCACACAGTCAATTTGCCAATTTCACTGAATTAATATGATGTTATAGTTGCCAGAGGAACTTTTGAGACATGAAACAATATAATTCTTTTTTATTCCTGCAGAAAAGGCATCTGTGTACTCCAACATTTTTTCTGATGGATACAGCTGTATCAGTGATAAAAACAGAGAAAAACACAGTACGAAGATGTCCTTCAGGTATGCAGGGAGTACAGCTAAGTGACAGACTGCTGTATATGCAACAACTGTGTAGACTCATTGGGCAACAGACCTAAAGAATATTTTACTCCAGGCTTTTTCCCTTGAAACTTATAAAATCTCTCAAGTATTTCAGTAAAAAATCTGCGTTCAGAATTAATAATTAAATAATAATTACATATTTAACGGTGTGAGAAACGAAGTTGTGTTTTTGCAGTAGAGAACTAATTTTCTGTATTCTAAGGCAGTTGGATATACTAAATAAGGAGACATACTAAATAAGAAGAAATGCTAAGTAGATAAGTGGACTCCAAAATAAGGTAGAAGCTTGAGAAAAACAGGATGACCAGTGTGAGAACTGTAAAACAAAGATCACAAGTTCTCAAAACATAAGAAATGAGAAATTAAAGGGTTGAAAAAAAAGAAAAAAAGAAAAATTGTACATATAGGGTGTAGAGGAGCATTGAGTAGCTTGTGAACCTGTAGTACTTAGCCAGTGAGGAAACAGGGGAGGTGATCAGGTGTTGGGTAATAGGGAATCAAAGGTTATGATTTGTTTACTAAAATGCACTCCTCACTGACAGGACACCCACCATTGCAATCGCGAATAAAATAAGCTTCACAGAAGATCCTGTCTGAAGAAAATTATTTGAGATTTTTCTCACAACGGTTTCTCAAACAGATTTTCACTGATTTTCAAGACAATATTCGGAATTCGTTTGACTTTGTGCATAGAAGACATTCCAAAATAAACAATGGAAACAGCAAAATGCTTTAATTCCTCAGTGCCAATTGATTTTAAAGGTTTTATTATTTCCTCTGTATACAGAAACCAGTATTTTGTTGCTGGGACATTAATCTATGCACCAGGATTGTTCAGCTACCATCGGTCCATGAAGTCCATACTGTGCACTCAAGCTCATGCACTGCCATCAGATGAAAACAAGTCTAGATCCAGCAAAATGCTGTACTTACACACCCCACTGACTGCAAATTAGTTCCTCTGCCTACAGCCTTCACCTGGGCCACCAAGAGCAGAACAGAACAGTGAAATTGCAGCTTGATAAAATAGCAGGCATGCACTTACTTTTTGGGGGGCGACATCACTGACTTCAACCCAGGTAAACTTGTCAGAGGAAACATGGGTATTTCCCCCTTTACATTTTGGAATTCTCCTCCTTGTGCTAAAGGTTAGCACAGAGCCCCCAGATGGATCCTTTCTGGACTGGAAAAGTAGGAAGCTGTTGTGCCAGAAGGAACAGCAAGAGTAAGCCAGAAGGCAGGGCACAGGGAGGTCTGCAAGAAAAACAGACATTTATCAGCAGCCTGAAGAGATTACTAGGCGGGCTGGCAATGAGTGACTGAGGTGATATTGTCTGAAAGAGTTGAAAGAGCAGACTGAAGCCTAAATAGAGCATTTAAGATGTTTATAGAAAAATGCTTTATGACCCTATGTTCTCTAATAAACTTTTCTCATTATAAAAAGGTAATGAAAGGATTCAGTTTAATAAATCCTCTGGTATTTGATATAAAATATAATATTCAATAACGAGAAAAAGAAATTCTCTGCACTTTTTTTTTTTCTAAATAGATGGTTCCAGAAAATTACCAGAAGAAATACATTAAAAACTCTTTTCCTTTACTTTTATGAAAAAATGAAAATGTCTAGACAAAAACATTTTCTACTGTGGGTGCAATGAACGAAGCTCCATAGAGCCCATCCAGGGAAATGCACATGGAAAAAGTATGAACTGTCCTGGCAGGGCAGCGTGGAAAGCACATTGCGGAGTCCTCTGTCATAACTTCACCTGGCCTGCAGATCAGCAAAGAGATCTGCAGGCTGACATGCTACAAGTCCTTCATTTCATCACTAATACTCAGCAGCATATCACTGCAGCCATTTTACAGGTTTTCTTCCGAGTGATGAGGAAAGTGATGGACACTAACAGTAGAAACAGCTATGATTTGCTTTCCCCAGAAAGCTGGCCTTTCATGCGTATTAGTAACATTTCATAGCAAGTAAATTCTGTAAATGCCCCCAAAAAATACATATCAGACAGTTCTGAAGCGCTTGTGCCACCCAAAAGGAATGCATAAGAAATCAAAATCCAAGAGGAAAGACAAGAATGATGCATTTCCCATCCATACAGTACAACGTGAAACATAAAACATTTGACTCACACTAGGATGCTTCAGGATGCAGTCATAAAAAATAAAAGTACTCCAGGGAAACAGAGGCATTTGAGGGCTAAAAAACTTACTGGTTTTATTCCAAAGTATTTGAAGACATTGTGTTCTCTCACTGTCCTTTTCAACTCAGAAGAAAATGCTTAGTCTGTGCTTCCACGTTACAGTAAATTCACTTCTGAACTCCAACTACCAGACCTTTGTTTCAAGTGTGGTGGCCACATGAATTTCAGTCATATTTGTCTTTAAGCCAGGGTAACAAAAATGTAATGGTGTCCAATGTTGATTCAGATCCAATCTGTTCTTCTGGGCAACCCAATAACACACGTCTCTCAAATTAATAGCAATAACATCAGTAATAGAAAATAGCGTTCCTAAGTAGGGTCAGAAGCAAGAGAAACACAGGGACTTTCTGTGGCTGTAACTCTTATTCTTTAACCCGTATGTAAAGCAGCAATTGCTTCTTTAGGCAAAAACACAGAGACTGATCAAAGATAGAAGGATCAACAAAATCAAGGGATCATAGAAGAAAGCTGGAAAATCCTATTGCCATCAATTACTTTGCATTCTTGTACTGATGGTTTTACTTACATTATTAGATTTCTTGTAGTAAAGGGTGATTCAATAAAGACTATTATCAAAAGATTGTGTGGTAATTCAGTTTGGAAGGAACCTCGGGAGGTCATTTAGTCTGGCCTCCTGCTCAAAGCAGGGTCAGCTATTTGACAGGACAGGGCCTGCATCTCCAGGACCAGGCTGTCTTTTCCAGAGACAGAAACTGGAAGAAGCGGATTCCTGAGGACACAAGATTTGACTCTTGTACCTGTGTCTATAGTAGCTGAGCTGCCTGAGGCAGCAGCTGTCTGCTCTTTGCTTGAGGGCAGTCTTCCACTTGCTCACCCTTCAGCTGGAGAAATTAAAGGATGTAGAGCTTTGACTGACTCAGCCCCTTTTTTATTATTATAGTGATATTCTCCATGCTTCCAGTGTACCTCTCTCCAGTGGTTTTAGCATTGCACATTAGCCAGAGTAACTTCCTGATGTGTATTTTGCTTCCTGGACTGTTGCAAGGTTACAGCTTTGCCTGTCCCAAGTGGCAAGAAAGCACTTTACACATATATACACAATGCAAGACAGGACTGTTAGAAGTCATCTTCCAGGTATTCAGTGATCCTTACTAGAATAACGAGTTTGTACATAATTTGGGATTCCAAAAGTGCTATAACACTTTGCACTAGGATAAGAGGAAGTCACAGGTCAGAACTGCATAGAAAAGCTGTTGTGGTCCTAGTAGTTACTAAGATTAGTTCCATTTCTTCCCTCTCAATCTACAAATACGAAAGAATGGAGAAGAAGCAGAGAGAAAGGGAATATCATCACACCATAGGTGCCAAAATGTCTCAGCTTTGCTACAGATTCCATAACAGGATAGAATTAACTAAGACAGGGAATTCAAAAGAGAAAGTCAAATCAAACAAAGAAATGCCAGTGTGGCCCAGTATGGCATCATTTTTGGAAAGAAAAAAAAAAAAAAAAAAAGGCACGATAATGTGGCATAGGCACGGAGCTAAGATGAAAGGAGGAAGAAAAGCAAGACCAGATGAAGAATTAATTAGAGAAAGCAATAGATAAACAACATCAGACAATCAGCAGATAAGCATGATAAATGCACACTATTCACAGACACGTAACACATACAATTTAAAGTCGGCCGAATTCAAAAACCTATGAAAAGCAAAGAACCTGCTGTTTCTTCTTTTTTCTTCTGCTCTTTTTCCAGTAGTACAGACAAGCTGAAGTAGTATAGGAAAGCCTGTATCTCTGTATTTCTGACAATAATTTGTCCCTTCAGAAATGCAGTGAGTTTGTAACTTACATGACCTACACACTCTCTACTCATGCTCCTCTAGGAATCATACAAGTGCCCACATTTTCACCTGTAGCAGCTTTGCTAACAAAACAATATTACATCTCTACATCTGTGTGTCCAAATTTCACTCTGACAAGACAGACGGTACAGACACTAAGTCTCAATGTACTTTTTTTCACTTTCAAGGTCATTCAGACCAAGAAACAAGAACAGAAACTTCTAGCAATGTGGACTTCAAAAGCCTCAAGAGAAAACTTTTTGCAGCATCTTTTTTTTCTGAACAAGGCTTTTTGCAGCGTGATGTTCATGAAGCAAAGACAAGTGATGAGTTAAACTGTCAACAGCTACAGTGTGATAAATGGAGTTAATCACATCAGTACTTTCTTCTAATCCAGTTAACATCAAATGGCTATATAAGGTCACCACACAACCTGGGAAGAATGGAATATGCCTTAAGCAAAAATGTTTAAATAGCACATCCCATACCAAAACAGCCCATGAAGACCACATCTGAATGGCCTTCAGGTACTCGAATAGACACCAAGGTTTCAACATGCCATTCAAGGTCAATATGTAAATGCAGTCTTAAAAATATTATTTTTTGTTACCAAACACATGTCTGGTATGAAGTCAGATAAATGTATTGCAAAACTCAAAACCTCAAGAAAAAAACGTAATGCTCATCAGTAAGAAGCCTCTCAAAGGGGAGAAAGATGGTTAGGGCTACAGAAGAAAGGCAGCCCTAAATGTGTTCTGGATATGGAGAGAACCATGTATGGTGTTGTGTTTTAGGTAGCCTAACCTCACCAGAGTGTCTCCTGACCCATTCTGTGTTAACGGAATGATGAGACTGAACAGCTTTTTATCAAGCTATAACTGAGGACAACTGTCCTCATCATTTCTCTTTGCCCAATCAATAGGAGGAAAAACAACAACAACAACAAAATACTTCCAAAATCATTCTTCTTGAAGCTCTTTGAAGTGTTCCCTACTGGAATTTTCCACTTTCTGCTATTCGATCTGGATGACAAGGGATTAGAGAGCTCTACTACAATACCATGAGTAGCTGGAAATGGACCTAATTTTGCCAGAGCTAATAGAACCAGTTTCATTTGTACAGGTATTGGACTATAAATTATTGCCTTCATTTATCTTTAGATCGAGTTACCTTATTTTCTTTAATTTAATCTTTCAGTTGTAATTGCAAGTACCTATTAATTTTTTAATTTTTTTTTTTTAATTTCAAACTGAGAGCTTGATCTGCAGTTAGCAAATGGTAAGTGTGTCATGGAGCAGCATTAAGAAATGTGGTGAGGTATCTGTCCTCTGGAAAAAAAAAAAAAAAAAAAAAAAAAAAGAAAAGGAAGGGGGATTTTCATTTATTGAGAAATTAAAATGGTGAACTTTTTTTTTTTTTTTTTAAAAAAAAAAGCAAAGTAAAAAGCAAAGTAATAGACACAAACAGTTTAGCACTTGAAGAAAACAATTCACTTGCATTGCTACACATCCTATCTCAGGGTAAAATGACTTACCCCTTGAGACAATTCATTACACCCCATTGACTATGAAGTGAGCTTAGTCTGACTAACATAGACATAGCCGTCTAATTCAAGGCATGGAAATCTCATTTTGTCTAAGATGATCTGCATGTTTAAATGCCCATCTGTTTCCTGCACGCACAGACCACATCACAATTCTGGAGGACGGTATACAAAATATTATGCTAGGACTGCTTTAGCAGGAGCCTTTATATAATCACTTTCAACAAAGACATGACACACCAGTCTTTCTCATCTATTTCTTAAAGACAATGAGCAGGTTATCCCTTGTAACTTGGGAAAAAGTCTTTACTTACATTCACTGTATTCCTGTCTCACATGCTATTTTAACCAAAGTATTCTATAGTATTACTATATTTCTTTAGTACTGCTAGGACTCATAATGGCAGATAAATGCAAATCTACACCAAAGAAGTATTTAACATTATATTCTAAATAAACATATTTTGGCCCAGATTTAACACTATTCCCTGCATGAGCTACTTATTAAATACACTTCAAGGTGCATGTTAGGAATCAAACATACACTGTTTGTTTGTTTGTTTAGAGAAAGAAGTGCTTAAGCTAGCCCTGAAGCTATTCATACTGTTTTCACCACTGCTTTACATGCTTTATCAGTGGTGGAATGTAACAGACTCTGCTTTTTTGATTAACCCATTTCCTCATGCCCTATAACAGCA